ATAAGAGAAAATAGGTTGGAGCTCAACTACCAAGTTAGCGCTATACTCGAACAGCAGGGAGAACAAAAGCGTCGAGAGTTAGCCACCCATATTGGAGAATCTAAACGACTTGCAACTCAAGAGATAAAAAGATTTGAGGTTACGTATCCAGTTATACTTCAAGAAAATTCTAGCAAAGAAAAGTGGATTGTTCAACAAACAGTGGGAGTTGTTAAGGACTCCTCTATCGAAATACCTGATGGAAAACAAAATGGCCTTCTTCCTCGTGCAGGAGTTGCAGCAAAAGTAGCAACATCTAACAACTTTGGAAAAGAAAAGTGTGAAAGAACCGAAGCTGTCCCAGGCAAGAGAAAAGCATTTTGCTTTCTCCCATTACCAGGTTCTACAGGACTTCCCGTTCACGTCAATGGCCACTTTGCCCTTGATTCAGCAAGACGTAATTTGTGGCAAGATGAAGACGGAAGCGGCTTCAGGACGAAATGGAACAACTTCATGAAGACGCAAGTAATAGCAGATGCTTACGTAAGCCTTCTCATTGAAGCACGTAAACACATTCCTCATCTGAAAGACGGCCAAGGAAGTCCACACTTCAGTACCGTACACGAAAGCTACTTAGGTCTAGAGTGGTATCAAAAGTTATTCCCTTGCAAGAGTGAAGCGGAAACTCAGTGGGGAAGTGTTGCGGCCGCCGTGCTAAACAAGATATCTCGTCAAGATGTCCCTGTTTTTCCAATTGTACGACAGGAAAGTGTTGAGAAAAAAACAAAACATCCTTGTAACTGGCTATCCCCGTCGAACGGTTTTTTTACCAGTTCGAAGTGCCGTCCCAGTCTTGAACATATTTTGCGGTCCATTGGATTCAACCTCATTTCTCTGACATATCAAATTTATAAGAATTTTGAAGAGGTAGAGGCTCCTGTTACTAAGATGACGCCCGATGAGGTTATAACCTTTCTTTCAACACACAACCCAGTTTTGAGACAACTGCCTTGTCCACTCCAACATTCAAGCATTGGATCAGTCGCACGATACATCGAAGTGTTATTCTATTGCATGAAATCAAAAGTATTCGCTGATAGACTCGATGGCGTTCCTCTTTTGCTGACTAAGGATGGGTTTCTTAGATTATTCAGTAAAATGAATCCAGTTTTCCTCACTACGTTTTCTAGTCTCGTTCCATCATCTGACCAGTTTGAAAAATTCGCCAGTAAAGAATTAACTGTAGCCTTGGAAACCCAATGTGATGACCTCTTCAAACAGGAAAACCCAGTCGTAGTACCACTGAAGTTGGGAGATCTGGCAACGTTTTTGCCCTATATATTCAAGGAACACAAACCCTGGAATACGACTCGCACTCCAGTTTTCTGGGATCCCGATAGCCATGACCAAGGGCTAGCAAAATGGCTCATAGAGTTGTGGGATTTCATTGCAAAGGAGTATCAAAAAAATCCATGTGATAGCTTTCTTGAGCCCCTTAAATTGTGGCCAGTATTTCCTATTACATCGAGACAGCTTGTTCCTGTTGCTCTTTCAAAGACTATTTTGAATTTAACAGAACTAGATTGGACAGCAACCCAAAGACGACTCGTCGGAGTACTGAGAAAGCTCCGATGTCCAGAAGTAGACATGAAGCTAATAATATCTAAAGTAGCAAGAGCCCCTGCTGTTGCTACGACCTACATGGCACATTCAGAAGTAGATATGGAGCTAATAACCTCTAAAGTGGCAAGTGTCTCCGCTGTTGTTAAACCTTACTTGGCGTATCCTAATTCCATAGATGACGTGATAATTGTCCTTCAATACCTAATGAAAAGAGACACGGATATATCTGGTAGAATCACGGCTCAAGAAGCGCAATTGTTATTACAGTTTCTTCAAGAGGACCGTGAAACCTTGGAAGTCAATGCAAGAAACGCGACAGTTCTACGAAAACTTCCATTTTACAAGACAATCGATGGCAGGCTCATTAAACTGGAAGGGGCTTCGGCTGTTTGCAAAGTTCCTATCGGTATACCACTGGATGAGTCGCAAGTCTGGATGGAAGCCACAAACTATGTGTTTCTCGAGCCTTGCCACAGTCTTGACGTGTTGCACCAAATGCTTGGGGTTCAACTAAAGTCACAGACGTCTTGTTACATTGATTTCATTTTTCCAGTGTTCAACCTTTTGAAAGCATCCACTCGCATAAAGCACTTAGAATTCATAAGAGACTCTTTGTTGCATGATGCAAAGAACAACGAAGCTAATAAACTGAAGATGGCTTTAAACAACCTGGCATTCATACCAAACGAGGCGACAGGGCTTCTGTGCAAAGCGTCAGACTTCTACGACCCTACAAATCCAGTGTTTCAAGCTTTGCTGACAAAAGAAAAGTTTCCGGGAAATCCATTCAGTTCATGTAAGTGGATTTTTTTCCTTCGAGATATTGGGTTATTGGAAACGTTAGGTAAAACTCAAGTTCTCGGGTTTGCCAAAGAAATTGAACGACAAGCTATTTCAGGGGTCACCAAACAACTGCTCGAAAGGTCTGCTGTTCTTACGAAGTATTTACTACAAGAAGCAAGCCTTCATGAAGCCGATTTCCTCCAACATATTTCCTCCGTCAATTTCGTCGTGGCTCACAGGGTTGAGAAAAGTCTCACATCAGTCTTCAAGCAGTTTTCGAGTGACAAAGACAACTCTGGTTCTTTAATATGCTTTAGAAATGCAATACCAGAAGATCATGAGCAGCTAGTTTGGAGTTCTGCAGCTTTGCTACCGCGTTGGGCTGTGCCATATGACGAACACATTCGCGAACATCTTGGAATTCTCAAAAAGCCATCACTGCACCAAGTTGTGACGCACGCTGACAACGTTTGCACAAAGTTTTCAAAGAAAACAGACATGGATTTGGAAACTTCCCTTAGGGAGCTAATGATGAAGATAATGGAAGGATGTTACACATATCTACAACGGTCATCCTTTGAATTACATGATGACTATCTTCAACGCCTCATTAAAATACCTTTAGCGTTAGTTGAAAACGGCGGGGTATTTATCCAGTGCAAACAGATGGTATTCGAGATGGAGGAATTTCAAGAGCAGCCTCCTTTCTTATACAGAGTTCCTAGAAGCTACGGACGTTTCGAAAGCCTGTTTAAGAAACTTGGAACAACCGAAAAACCTATGCCATTACAATACGTCAACATTCTTGAAGAAATCTGGAAGGGCTGCAAAGAAAAGGTAATGCACGAGGAAGAAAAGAGTCAGGCAAAAAAGGCCACCTTCGGTTTCTTTAGAGCTCTAAAGAGACTACATGTTGAAGAGCAGAGGAACAAACATGAGATGTCATGCGCGGCCTCTCTACAGGACGTGCGCGTTATCTATTTTCCAAGTCAAAAAGGAAAACTGAAGCCATCCAATCAGTTGTTTCATATGTATGACTGTCCACAGTTGCTGGAAAGAGTGAAGGCAATGAAGTCCAACTATGAACTGATGATTGAACTGTCTGATTGTGGGTTTCGATACGATCACCCAGAGGAACTACTAGGCTACCTGCCGCAGCATCTCCAAGTAAATTCCATAACACAGTTTTTTGAAGAAGAGCTACATCCAGAGTGTTTGGACAAGAAGTGTAGATTGGATGGAGATGGCGAATGCACCGAAGCCAACCGTCTACGGGAGATTTTGGGTTCACAACAGTTTACTGACGGACTGATCAGAATTTTCAAGGCACAGGAGCGGAAAGCCACAATAAAAGAAGAGGTGAGACAGAAAATAGAGAGTCTAAGAACAATTTTCAAGATAGTCTGCTTCGAAAGTTTGGAAACGGTCATAAAAAATAAATGACTGGTGAAGAAATTGAAGGCAGTAGAAAGTTAAAGACACATTTTTTCATCCACGATGGCAACACAGTATCCATCTTCATCCGTCATGGGACAAGAAGTATTTCCCTAAACTTAAAAATATGCGAATATATTGACAGACATCTCAATAGTGCATTGAAGTTGATGTCAACCGTTCAGTGTTTGTTACTTGTGAAAGAAGCAGTGGAAATCCCTCAATTACTCGATGAAATGGGAATTAGAAGGGATGTACAGCAGTTGGCTTCTGGAGTGTATCAAGCAAATCCAGGAGCAGTTATACCCCCTGAGGACCATTATCTATTGATGATGTATGAAGAATTTATCTTCCGCCCCGATGAAATAGTTGGCTACCTGGTAGAAGATAATCTAGAGTGTGATCAAGGAAAATATATCTACGCTCGGATAATAGAAAAAGTCTTACCAACCTGTCACGAGGAGAAAAGAGAAAAGGTATCTGAAAAGATAAAGAAAAAGCGCAAACAAAAGAAACGGATCGCTGCGAGGATAGAAAACTGCGATTCTGCTACAGAAAGGGAGCAAAAAGAAAACCCTTTAGTTGGCTGGTATCGGATTGACATCGGAACAGACGCACCAGTTGTCGCGGAAGTACTTGATCTCTATAAAATCAAACGACCACAAGAGGCGGATGATATGGGCGAAAATACGTTTACCGATGACTTAAGTATTGTTCCTTATGAAGGGGAAGAACAACCACCTAGCCACTCTGCAGCAAAGCCAAGTTCCTGGGAAGGAATTAAGAAAGAGATTCGTCAAGCTTTAGCTGATATCATGAGCCTCCCAAAAGAGAAGCGACGTAAAGCTCTTAAACGACTCTATTTACGTTGGCACCCTGATAAAAATCCTGAAATGGAAGAATTGGCGACCGAAGCAATAAAGTTCATTTAAGAGGAGTTCGAGCGCCTTTCTTCTGGTGCAGGAGGCTCTGGCGATGGTATAGGAGGTGCTTCCAGTGGTACCTCTTTTCATCAAGACTGGTATGCAAATGACACCTTTTACGCTAACTTGAACAGGAGAGCACAGCAACAACGATCAGCATACGACAACTACCAACGTCATAGGAACTCATTCAGATCCAGGTCTTCCCATGGTGCATCATTTGGACGAAGCAGCGAATTTCATACTCCCGACGCGACAATGGCAAGAATCTGGATCATTCAGAGCCGCGCAGACTTGAGAAGTGTAGACCAACTTTTTGAAGCAGACGACGAGTTATACTGGTTGATTTGCTTTCAATGCAGTCAGGTCGTGGAAAAAGCACTAAAGGGGGCCATGTATGCTGTTTGTGGATTGACACAGGACCAGCTCATGAGCCATGATTTGATATGGCTTGCAAGTGAACTGAAAAATGCTCCAAATGGACCGGATGTCCTATTTTTGTCGGGAGAACTTCGGAATTACCATGTCCCTACACGATATCCAGGCAAACGTTCTCCAACCAGACCTCCAAAGGACGTCTTTTCCTTGCAACAAGCACAAAGAGCGCGTGAAATAGCGAGAAGAGTATTGCAGATCTTGGAAGAGTTCATTGGTATTCTTGACGTGTAAATGGTGAGTTAAGAACTGTTCCTGAAAAAAAAACAAAGTGTAGTGGTTATAACTTTATGCGTTGAAAACAAAGTGGTATTATAATCAAAAACTACTTTGCAAGTTTCAATGCAAGATTTTGTTGCTCACATCTCAACACCTAGTTAGACTTTTRAGCTCAAAAATAAAATGAAAAATAAGAGAGTCCTAGAGCCACGAGCATCGTGCCTTTTCGGTTCTATAAGATGGTGCTAATTTAGTTTTACTTAAATTAACACATTGTACAATACTAAGTTACCACATGAATGCATTGTAATGAAATGAATTAGGAACGAAACGCTTTTTCGCCAGTAGTTGTTCCCGAGCCCTCAGATGTGCAGGTTACATCATGGGTGCCAAGGATGGCGTAGCATTAATAACTCCGCATTATATTTTACCACAATCACTCCCCTTACGAAGCTCTTCTGTGAGTTTCCCTCGACACACACACTACCACTACATTCTATATTTACAACATACGACACTCAACTTACATGTTGATTTTTTAGGAGGGAGGAAAACCGGAGAACCAAAAGAAAATCCCTAGTGGCAACGGAGAGAACAACACGTCAAAGAAACTCGAATATAATCCATTCCCAGCCGGGGCTCGAACCCAGCTGTATATAGTACTGAATATTATAGTAGTCTCTGTGAATGAAAGTTGGCCAAATTATAGAAACCATTATATTTCCAAGCTGAATCTGTGTCATCCACTATAAAAAGATCAGTAATTGGTGTATATATTCATTTTGTCTTAGATCGACCCAAACGTGGAACCATACGATTCTGAGGCCTCAACTGTACACAAGAATTATGCAAGCATCAGTATTAGTGTGATTTTACTAGTTTAACCCGTGAAAAAAAATTACTTATAAATGTGTAATATAAATAATGCATGCTGGGATCTATTAACATTTATTAGTTTACTAGCTACTTCACGGATTTATTAAAACTACTTATTAAGTCAACAGAAGGAAATAATTTAATTTTCGAACTTTTACATACGTAAGTAACTGTAGTTCGTTTAGTAATGCAATGCATGTAGAGGATTCATAAGTTTGATGTCATTTTTTTATTTGTTTATTTGTTTAGTCAGTACGTTAGTACTCAATCACTAAGCATTACAGTTAGTGCAATCTAGAACTGAAGTTAATGCCAATCCATGTATAGGATTTATTTCTAATTATATTTGTCATTACCGATAAATTTTGATGATATTTTTTATCTGTATTTTTCAGTCAGTTAGTACTCACCTAAAAGCAAAGTTAGTCCAGTCTAGAAAGCAAGAGAATATGAACTAAGAGAAGGAATGCCCGCTCCACATCATGAACACTCTTTGATGCTATTTTAAAAATCATTGATGCTATTTTTAGAATCATTTATTTCATTGTCTGTTTTTCTGCAGCCCTACCATGTTTGCTCCTCTCTTTTGTTTAAAAAAAAAACGTAAGAAAACAGCGTAAAGCGCGCGCAGTATGGGCGTGCACAAAAACAAACAAATGAGATTCTAAAAATAGCATCAAATGGTGCCTGTGATGGTTAAAAGCATGAATACCAGAGATTTCTTCTCTTAGTTCATTTTCTCTTGTAGAAAGTTAATACGAATGCATGTAGAAGATTCATTTTATATTTGTAATTATTCAAAATTCGTTGATATTTTTTATCTGTATCCAGTTAGTTGGTACTCGCATTACAGCATAGTTAGTCCAATTTAAGATTTATTATATTTATTTTTTAATTATTGATAAATTTTTATTTTTCATCTGCTGTATTTTTGCATTGAGTCAGCATTCAACACGAAAGGCAGGCAGTGTATTATAGGTTAGCTAAGTCATTATTCAATACCAGTCATTATTCAAGTCGAAGGGGGGGGGGGGGGGAGGAGAAAATGTTTTTGATTCAAAAAAAGGGGTACCCCCCTTCAATCATTTGAAAAATCCTCCTAATCCTCCTTGTGTCCTTTCAAGGTCCCCATGTTCCATTAAAAAAATTTGAGGGCTCCCATTTTCTCCTCCACCATCGCTGCCGTCACGTGATGGTGCAAAAACCTC